ACAAAGGGAGACTTAGAAGTCGTTGGGTGAATCCGAGTTGAACAACATCACTAAGTGTATCACTAAGTGTATGAGAAGGCACTCGGCTGCGAGTGTTCTTGGACGGCAATGCCAATTTTGAATTGAAATGGGTGAAAAAGAAAGAATTTTTATATCTTAAGCGGTTACCTCTGACTTGGTGTAATTTTCCAATTTCCTCCTCTGTCAAAGTAGAAGTTTGTTTCCTGGAGTGTCAGAATGCTTTTAGGTTTAGAAAAATCAAAAACAACTTCTGAACGCCGCCTTTATTCCTCTGATAGGCGTGAATCATTAGCAGGGGAATTGAATGGAAAACGCCAGAGGGGAAAATAAAAGAATTCACATATGTTTCTAGTTCATTTAATTTCACAGTCTTCTCAAAATATTTCCTATAATGAAATAAGTAAAGCTCCTTGAGCGAGAGATCTGGTAAGAACTCTGAGTCTACACCCGTTTCAAAACAAGGATAAGCGTTCAATTATCACTGATTTACATAGTCCATAATATACTGCCGAAATATTGCAATATTTACAACAAGGACGCGAAGATGGATCTTACTCATTAATAAATTTTTCGGCATTATCAAAGATTGGAGAAACTTTTATCACAGAACAATTACTGACATAAATATCAAGGAAACTAAGAGAAAAATGAATAAATTTTAACTTTTTTTAGACTGATCTACCTTTTTTTGCAATTTTTTTTCTCCGTAAGGGTTTGAAATGTACGGGCAATGTTGTAATGAGTAAGAAAGCTCTTCGATCTGTATCATGGAAAATTTCAGTTATTATCTGGCCTCTGCAGTGTATTTCTGAAGATATCAGCATCTCTGTTCCATTTGAAAGGAAGGGAGCTGTCTCGTAAAGCAGCAACAACCTACACTCTTCCTTATTTCCCGCTTTATGTCGTTTTTGAGTAAGCCATAGACAAGTGGGTTGAACGCAGAGTTTGCAATCAGCAGTAATTGCTGCGCCAGTTCCACTTTAGGCTTAGGTTCTGGACAAAACGTCACAACATGGCACACGCTCTTTACAGCAGTTAAGGAATAACAAAGAATGTAAAACGTTACCACAAAAATGATGAAAGCAATGGAGTTTCGAACCCTATTTCCCTGACGCGAGGGCGGCGTGTTTTCAGATGCTGTTGTAATGGACTCATTGTAGCGTAACTGTTCCGCGACTGTGACGCGCTCGCGAACATGTTTTCTGGCGATAAAAAGCAAATGTGACGTGGCTAGCAACAAGCTTACCCAAGGAATTAACTCAAAAACGATCGCTACTACATAAGTGAAGTACCGGATGCCGTGTTTTAAATGTGTAAAAGTTAACGGCGCAAAACCAGCTGCAGACGGTACTATCCATGCCATGCTTATGAATGCCAAAACCCAGTTTTTAGACATGATCCTGCCATAAACAAACGGTTTGACTATAGCTATGTAGCGGTCCAATACCAACACGCATAGATTGGTTACAGAGGCGTACAGGAATACCCACTGAAAGATGGCAAGCAAAATGTATTGGCAACCGTTCTCAATGTTAGGAAAACAGAAGTATATGCCAGGGTATAAACTCAAGCTGACCCCAAGATCTGCCACGGACAGAGACAAAAGAAACCAGTTGGTATTACACTGAAGCCGTGTTTTCGAGGCAATCAAAAGGATGATGAAGATGTTGCCTGTGAAAGCGACGGCGGACAGAAGCCAGCCCAGGACAGTATACCATTGAGGCCTCGCCGAGTAGTCTGTCATCCTGAACCCACTTGGGAAGAAAGGAAAATTTGGTGAGTTCTCTGCTTTCCGTAAATTGAAGAATTTGATATGTGTAAGAAACTGAATTAAAAACTCATTATTCAACCGCATGGCAAACAAAAAGGAAACTGAATTAGCATGAAGCTCAGTTGATCGAAGAAAGTCGCCAGTAATAAAATATTTTAGCGTCTTATCAAATCAGCCTCAAATTTTCATCAGATAATTACTGAAAAAAATGCTTTGGTTCGAAAAATCGCCGAGACTAAGGTTTCGTTAGACGGGAGTGAGAGATGATGAAGCCTTTAAGCTAGACAAACGGAAAACAAAAGCAGTAAACCACTTTTTCAGTCTGGTTGCGCTGATTCGAAAATTATACTAAAAAGATGAAAAATAACGAGAATGGGACCATGCTTTCAAAACAATTCTTACTTTAGGTGTGTCAAGTTGGTCGGCTGGTCGGTTACATTCAGATAAGAAGACATCCTGAATATCCGGTTAGATTTAACAGTATATCTTTGTTGCTCAAAAACTGATAGTTGTATTTTGAAATAGGGTTTGAAATGAAAGCGTTTTAAAACATCAAGCCATTATATTTATTGCACTGTCTTTGTAATCATGGATGTCAAACGAACTGGGTGACATTTCCAATAATTAAAGCAAACACCTGTAGGACTGACAATTTTATTAAAACGAAGTGCAATATTATTTTGGATTGACGAGAATTAGACTATTTGAACAATGCTTTACTTCGATCGCTAATTGCTCCCTGTTATTGGTAAGTCTAATAAAATTCTTACATACTTGTTTGTTTTTTGAAGGCAAGTTAATACAGAAACCCACATAATTTTCAATTTGGTATTAATGACTAGACGTCGACGTCAAACTCTTGACATGCGGAAAAATGTGAAATTACCAATATTAACTAAAAAGTATTGCTCCTTGCTATCTTATCGAGCGCGCATTCCTGATAATAGCTACAGAGTCATTAACTACACTTAATTTTGCATCTTCATACAGATGGTACAGCTTCGTGGAGTTTGACTTGTTGCTCCCAGCTGATATCAAGTATCTGGTACTTGAAAAACGCCGGTAATTAAAAATTTCAATTTCTCACTCCATTCCGCTGTCATATGAAATATACTTAACGCGGGAAATAAGTGCTGCCTTCTATTTTTGCTAACCGGTCGTCTCGCCAACATGTCAGCTCGCCAACTAACAGTTCGCCAGCGTCTAGTGTCAGTTCGCTAACTGGCGAAATGTTTGTTGGCGAACTGACACGTGTTGGCGAAACGACCGGCATTCCTATTTTTAACCACTTCCCATTTTATACCCAAGTCATGTTTCATCCTTAATAACATTGTTACGACATTTAACTCATAACGGAAAAAGATCCCTTTAAATTTTTCTTTTCTAAATTACTTAGGTAATTAACGTTTCTATCCACGCCATACTTACAGTAATGAGAGAGGCACAAACTGGAATTTGTCTAAATGACTCACTGAAACTGTAACATAACATAAAGATTGAGTTTATGCCGCTGTCCAAAAAAACAAAGATGCTACGAGCCCGCGCTGATTAACATTCCTATTTGTGCTCGCGCAATAGGTTGTGCCCCATTTTCTTTTTATATTAATATAAATAAAATATCGACTGACTAGACTTATTTCCTTGGAAGTGCATTATGTACTGCGACGTATTAAATCCACGGTGAAATTTAAATTCGTCGTGGTATCTGATTTGGAATGCAACTATCGTAACAAAAGATTTGAAATTTTGAGCTAATTAACCTTAAAAATAAATTCACCACCGTTCCTCATCCTCCGTTGCTAATTTTCCGTTCCTCATTTCTCTTTTCCTATCTTCCGTTCCGCTTAATTTTAGTTCTTCACATTCCGTCGCGCAATTTTCGTTCTCCATTTTTACGTTCCCTCATTCTCTGAATTCCATTCTCATTCCCTATATTTCAGCACGTTACAACTGTGTGTAGATGAATTTATCGATGATTATAATGCACGAGAAGACATTTATAACACCACGAGTCTGATGAATTAAGAAAAATCCGTTATCTATTCGGGTAACAAAGTTCGTAGTTACAATGTATATATGAAGTTCATATATTTTGAACTGCGGTTTTATATACGTATGATGCACGATCCTCGCAGTAGAGAGCGCTATTTATGCAATAGCGAAAATCAGACCTGAAAAAAATCAGGCCTGTACGGGATTCGAACCACTGACCTCTGCGATACTAGTGCAGCGCTCTACCAATTGAGCTAACAAGCCAACTGGGAGCAGGCCGTTAAGTTGATTCGTAATAAACCCGTGATGATAAATCAGATACAATGTATATATGAAGTTCATATATTTTGAACTGCGGTATTAGATACGTATGATGCACGATCCTCGCAGTAGAGAGCGCTATTTATGCAATAGCGAAAATCAGACCTGAAAAAAATCAGGCCTGTACGGGATTCGAACCACTGACCTCTGCGATACTAGTGCAGCGCTCTACCAATTGAGCTAACAAGCCAACTGGGAGCAGGCCGTTAAGTTGATTCGTAATAAACCCGTGATGATAAATCAGATACAATGTATATATGAAGTTCATATATTTTGAACTGCGGTATTAGATACGTATGATGCACGATCCTCGCAGTAGAGAGCGGGATGATAAATCCCGTACAGGCCTGATTTTTTTTTCAGGTCTGATTTTCGCTATTGCATAAATGGCGCTCTCTAGTGCGAGGATCGTGCATCATACGAAATTAATATAGTTCGGTTTGGCTTGGTTTCCAAGGCATTTTATTGAAACATCAAGGATATCAAAAACATTGCCGTTTATTTGATTTGCCTGTCCTTTGTTCGACGGTGGAAATTGTGAGATTCCTTGTGTCTCNGCACTGGTATCGCAGAGGTCAGTGGTTCGAATCCCGTACAGGCCTGATTTTTTTCAGGTCTGATTTTCGCTATTGCATAAATAGCGCTCTCTACTGCGAGGATCGTGCATCATACGTATCTAATACCGCAGTTCAAAATATATGAACTTCATATATACATTGTATCTGATTTATCATCACGGGTTTATTACGAATCAACTTAACGGCCTGCTCCCAGTTGGCTTGTTAGCTCAATTGGTAGAGCGCTGCACTAGTATCGCAGAGGTCAGTGGTTCGAATCCCGTACAGACCTGATTTTTTTCAGGTCTGATTTTCGGTATTGCATAAATAGCGCTCTCTACTGCGAGGATCGTGCATCATACGTATCTAATACCGCAGTTCAAAATATATGAACTTCATATATACATTGTATCTGATTTATCATCACGGGTTTATTACGAATCAACTTAACGGCCTGCTCCCAGTTGGCTTGTTAGCTCAATTGGTAGAGCGCTGCACTAGTATCGCAGAGGTCAGTGGTTCGAATCCCGTACAGGCCTGATTTTTTTCAGGTCTGATTTTCGCTATTGCATAAATAGCGCTCTCTACTGCGAGGATCATGCATCATACGTGACTTGACTTGACTTGCAATCCGTTTTCCAAATTCCACACGAAAACCAAAAACGAAAATGAAATTTGATTTTCATTTTTCTAGGCAATTAGAAATCGGTTGGCACTAAGGTACACGCATTGCATTGTTAATCCCTCGAGCTCATTTTAGTAACTAACCGAAGAAAACAGAGAATTAGTCCAGAGTCTAGGGATGAGGATGTTCCTTACGCTCTATTCTCAATTACAGCTTTCCTAGTCAGTCAGACTGAACGAATTATGACAATTTTACTCGATATCAACAGCGACGCCATGGCGATCTATGGACCTTTTGAAACACGAATTTACATCTCGCTCTCTTAAATGGCGTCAAGCAGTCATCGCTGTGAAAACAATTTTACAATTTATATGTAAAAAGAGCGGAACACATGTGAAATAAAGCTGCAAACCTTGTTTCAGTTCGATGCAAGTACACAGCCGTCTGTTGTTGTATTCACCAGAGGATAATTTTCACTGAATTTTCTTTTCTTTTTTAGGGAGTCGATGTAATTAATCCGTTGTGGTGAAAACCAACCCCGACCTCAGCCTTGTTCAGTGATATCATGTTGCTCCTACCGCAAAAACTGTCTACATTAGATAACTTTATCGGTGTGAAGTTCAATTTTCGATTCGCCTTTTTCAAAGAATATGTAGGGATGGAACTCGAAAAGCCCTCCCTTAGCTCCTTAGCGTATGTAAACAAAATTTGAGCCTTTCCTGAGGTGAAAAGGGAATAACCAAACAAATTAAAAGAACTGTCATTCGAAAACGATACAGTTTGAATAATTTAGATTTTGAACAGAACGTTAAGAGGTAAACCTATGTCAGTCCAGGAACTTATCTAGAATGTGTGATTTTATAAGCTGTCTTTAGGATCTTTAGCAAAACTATCTAAACTATCAATTTTGCTAAAAGGGCTATGCCTGTTCACTCCAACTCATGCAATAAAACCGAATATCTAATATCACGAAAAACAAAAAAAACATTTCTCCCTTAGCAAATGTAAATAAAATATGAGCCTTCCCTGACGTGAAAAGGGAATAACCAAAAAAACATTAACAGAACTGTCATTCGAAAACGATTCAGTTTGAATAGTTTAGATTTTGAACAGAACGTTGAGAGGTAAACCTATGTCAGTCAGCAACTTATCTAAAATGTGTGATTTTATGAGCTGTATTTAAAGGGGAACTGAAGCCTAAAATTGGCATAATGTTTGCATTCATTTCTAGTCAGCTTTAGAGGAGTAAGCTAAAGTGTCGATATTCATTTTAATTTTGTTCACTTTTTGTTTTTTACGAGAAAATTCGATTTGAAGTTGCCTTTTTCCCGCTTTTGGGGCTGTAAGACTGTCATTAAGATCTAGAGCTAAACCATCTAAAACTATCAATTTTGCTGAAAGGGCTGTGCCTGTTCACTCCAACTCATGCAATAAAACCGAATATCCAGTATCACAGAAGAAAAAACCATTTCTCCCAGGTTAAATTTGCGCACCAGAAAATGAAGATTTTGAGCAGATTCGACCGTTTTTTCGGTTTTTTTTTTCTCCACTTTCTTGCTTGTCGAGCTAGTGAAAATGTTATGCTACATGAACGTTGAAACAAAATCCTCGCTTTATCATGATATCCAACTATCTTGCAAGCCTTTATTAGCTAATACATAACTTGCAATAAATACCTTTAAATATTTCCTGACTCCTGGCAGGTTTAAAGCCCATCCACAGATTTTCTTGAACCGTGAAATCGATTTGTTGTCGTCAGCCACAATTGAAAGTGATTAATGGTACAGATGCATCGTTGTTAAACAAAAAACCTAGGTTACGAGAAATGATCCGCTGCAAAATGGGTAAACTGCGTGGGATGGGCTTTGCTTTTGTAAATATCTTGTCACCAAAACCTGCTTATAGTCGATTTTTTTTTTTTCATATACATAGCTTGCAAATATGTCTGCTATAGATGTTGCAAGGTGATATATGTAAATGTAAATGTTTTGATCTTTAAAACACCCAAGGATGCATGATTCATTTGCATTCAAATAGTGAGGTATAATTAATGATCAGTGCGACTGTTGTCCAAGCCGGCAAACAATTTACTATAATAATCAGCCGACCAAGGCTTTTTAATTGGAATTGTTTCACCTTCTCGATATAATCGTTTCTCCAAAATTGCCTTTTCCTGTCTCTGATTACATGTAAGATCTTTCTCAGAAAAAGAAAATGTTGTAAAATGTCAGGCTGATATGCAGAAATCGAATAGAAGCTGAACTCTTTGAAGAGAATCCAGTGATATAAACCGAACTATTATCAATATGAGAAATAACAGTGACAAGACACTATGAACTGTTTCTCAAAAATGTAAACCCTTTCATTTCCGTAGCTGAGGATGAATTCAAGACCGCCCAAAAAAAAAATCAAATATTCATAGTTCGCTGTTTTTATCTGTTTGACAGAGAAATATATTTTCACTTAACAACTTATGGTTTTTGACGGCCTTCAAACAATCGTCGCTTAAGTTATGAAGCGGTAGCAATAATGAACTTTTTTGTATTCAGGTCACGAACGTATTCGTTATAACGACATGCCAATCTCTTGGGTGATCACTTAATCGTCGATTAAGATAATCTATGTTCTACGTTTTTGATGGTTAGAAACAGTCTTGTTTTAGAACTGAGGGGGATTTATACAGCTTCAAAGCCATGACGTTCAAGGTATACTAGAATGACGGCAGGTTCTTAAAACGAAGTAAACAAAAGAACGAGGAAAAAAAATACAGGTGTATTAGACATAATGTCCCTGTTTCCTTGGAAAAAGGTCGTACTTTCAATTAGAGAGAACAAGCTTCGTCGCAATGGTCGAATTCTTTTTTTTTTTTTTTTCCTCTGTTTTGTTTCGGATTCTTTGAAACTTGTCTTTTATCGGAGGGAAATTGAACTTATTGTTTTTCGAAGGTAGGTAAATGTCATTCGCCGAGAAGAAAAAAATTGAAAAGTTTCGTCAAGCTGTCTATAATTGAACAATTGCAAACAAAAAACTCAAAGCCATTTACCATCGCGTATAAATTACCCCCAGATTTGACAATATTGACTTTACAATACCATCGAAGTTTTCCTCTCGCGTGCGCCTCAATAAACGGGTTTTTTTCTCGCTTTATTGTTGTTGTTTATAAACCAGTTTAAGTGTCCTGTCGGTGAAATTTATCTTATCCATCATCAATTACCGAAGTATCGTTCAAAGAAAACGAGAAAGAAGGAGCCAATATGGCTTAATTTTTCTAAGAACAAATTTATATTTTTAAATATAGGAAGATTCGTCACAGATTTCAGGAAACCGGGAGATCTGTGGCTTCAAGAACTAATGACGCTGTACGAGACATACCAGGTTTTTCAGCAGTACTAATTATAAGGAATTTGAGCAAGCCTGGTCTTTTTTCCCACTTCCTGTTTCCTTCCTGAGGAAAGGATGGTAAATACTAAAAAAGATTAGATAAAAGATCGTATCCATTAGTGGGTAGATTTAATGTGTTCTTTAGAGCTTGTGTAAAGCATTACGCACAAATACGAAATCTTTTTAAAGTTAGAACGGACTTAACTTCTATTAGATGGAAAAATAGAGGATTCTGGAATAGGAAATGAAAATAATAAAAAGATGAAAAGAAAAGTAAACAGTATACAGAGTACATTTCTTCGACTCTAAAATAAAGCGAAAATAGCAAGATATATATTGAAACGAATGAGCAACATTTTTTAAATGGCTTTCTAAGGAAATTGAACGAGACTTACCGACTCCCTTTCGAGTAGAAAAGCAATATAATTTGTTTTATACAAGAGCTTAAGTAGACAGCTTGGAGGAATATGCTTGAAAATAAACATCGCTACTAGCTAAAATATGATTGAAATCATAATATTTTTTTTTTTAAATGAACACTGCTACCAGCTTAAGCTGAATATGATTGAATTCAGAATTTTTTTTTTTTGAAAATGAACATCGCTACCGGCTTACGTTTTTTCCATTTTCAGAAAATTCCACTAGCTAATTACACCCACGCCGACGTACACTTTTTGAAGTCGTTTCGAACTCGGCATGAGTAGATCTAGAGTCTGTAGCAGCGGAAGTAGTTGAAAGACCTAACAAAATAAAACCCTCTGACCTAGAAAGCTGTCCTCGAGTCGTAGCTGCCTGAACAATTTTAAGGAAAAGTTACAAGTGAACGAAGAAGAAAACCTTAGAACTTACCAATTAAGGTCAAAGTCTGTAGAATACACCTTCTCTGATATGCTAAATACGAATGATCGATGCCTCTGAAATTCAATACAATATCGAACCTTACATTATATCAGCCCACGCGTTCATTAACGCAAGACAGTGTGATGTCATAGTTGATATTTACATCGCCAATCGTAGAATATAAAGGACAATAAAAGATGTTAGATAAGGTATCGTGCTAATCTGTTTTGGCCTTGTCCTGCCACTGGAGATAAATTTAAACTTCCTCTCCAGACAACAAAGATTCGAGCAGGAAATTGTGTTACAAATAACACAGTTCAAACACATTTTTGACGGTCAGTTTTTCACTTTCGAGCCACTGTTTGAGGGGAATTAGATTCTTGATTGGTCAGAGCTGTGCAATTTTGAATAATGACAAATTTTTGAAGTTTCAGACCCATTAATGCCATAGGTTGACATGATTCGCAGAAATAATCTATATTATTAAAAACTAGATCATTGGATAATGCAATTCAAGACTTTTTATTGGCTTAGCCATTATGGTATATCAGCCAATATACCATAATCTACAAATATGGTAAGCTACGTGTCAGCTTGAAATTAAAAGAGAGCTAAAAATTTAATAAAATTTAATAATTTAATTTAACGTTTTTAATAAAACAATTATTCTACTCGCGCTTGTTGGATATGAGGTGATTATAGCCAACGAGGCGCGTAGCGCCGAGTTGGCTATCTATCATCTCATATCCAACGCACGTTCGTGGAATAATTGCTAATTACTTGTTTTCAACTCCATTTTACCTATTCATTAAAGATGAGAACGTTCAGAAAATATACAAAACGCTTTCAACAACACTAAAATGTTGAACGCTTCAAAACAACAATCAATATGACATTAAACTTCGAGAGAAACTAATGGTTTCTCTATTAGAAGTTCACAGATTCGTTCCCCTTGCCCTTCTAGCTTGACTTCCGACAGTCGCTCATGAAATAATGAATCGCGCTCGACACGTTTCTATGGCGTTCAATCCATGCCTAAAATAATTATGAGCACGCAACGTTCTTTAATTTTAGCTCTCAAACTTTGTTTTAGTTTCCTTTACGATCAGCTTAAGGCCTCAACGTCCAACTTGAGCAACCAACATTTATCTTTTGAGAGGACGAGAAAGAAATAAAAATTCAGACTTTTAATTTGGACATTTTTATTTCTCAGTCTTAAAAAAAATTCAATTTTGATTTGGGCCCTTTTTTTTTTTAGAAAGAACTCAGATAACAATTCTTTAATTTAAGACCAGGAAAAAGCTCTAAAACAAACCAAGCGATAAAAGATCGTACCACTTCTGTTGATTCATGACCCAAATATTCAAATAGGTAAAGTCGGTGCTAAGGGAAATAATCAATAACAATGCATCACCGTCACGTGCCTGTTCAAAATCCAACATTAGGGTTCAAGATCGAATACACGTGTCTATCAGTTGCAGAGGCGGATCCAGGATTTTTTTGAGGAGGGGGTGCACCACAAAAGAATGGCGTAACTGACTGGTGACCGGACGTAAACAAATTGTAATAGCGAATACGAAGAAGGCTCTTGCCTAATAGGCAATAACATATTATAACATAACCAAGGTAAAGCGCGCGCTCTGATTGGTCAATTTAGCGTCCCCCATTTGCCCATGGGTGTACGCTGCTGACGTGAGCAAATGCAAAGACTATTTTTCCGCGCTTGCTTGTTTTTTCTGGTCACGTAAGATTTTTTAAATAAAAGGGAACTCTTTAGCTACAATGTATCAATGTTATGTTATAAAACAAATGGTAAACACCACAGCGTACACTATTGAGTTATGGATGCACTTGGGAGGTTTGCTAAGCACTCAAGAAGCTAGAGTCGCTCTCGGCTATCGCCTCGAGCGACTCTTACGCTTCTTTCGTGCTTAGCAACCTCCCGCGTGCAACCATAACTCAATAGTGTACGCTGTGGTGTTTACCATTTGTTAAATATGAACTGCTGAGAATATTTACGACGTTTAACATAAATTCTTCAACCTCGTCTCTTGGTCTTCAAAACCAATAAACCACATAGTTTTGTTTTTTTTTTTTTTGCAGAATACCACTTGTATTAGAAAGCCGCAGGTCATCTCAGGAGGGGGGGTGCGTACCCCCTGCACCCTCCCCCTTGATCCGCCCCTGAGTTGGACACTAGTGTCTAAGATCGGACAATAGGGAGTAAAATCGGACACTGGTGTCCTATTTTAGACACTAGTTTCCCATTTTAGACACAAGTGTATAATTTTAGACGGCAGCGTTTTACTTAGGACACTGGTGTCCGATTTTAGACACTAGTGCCCAACAATGCCAGTGTAACATTTTACAACTGGTGTCCTATTTTAGCCACTGGTGTACGATTTTGGACATTACCGTCCGATTTTAGACAACAGTATCCGATTTAAGGAAAACGTGTCAAATTTTAGACACTAGTGTCCAATTTCCCACGGTAGTGTCCCATTTCGAATTCTAGTGTCCATTTTTTGGACTGTATTGTCCGTTTGCTTCATTATTGCAGCATTACTTGATTTAACTTAAAATATATGCCGTACATATTTTTTCCGAGCAGAGCACTGCACAAATATACCGATTAATGTCTTTAGTACTCTGGTCCACATCTTTTCTTGAGATGGGTGTGCGACAGGATAACAGAGCTAACCGGGTGGGAAT